GATTCTTATTATTATGCAATTGAATGTTTGTTTACGTATGACACTGATGCTTCTAATTTGAGAAAGATTGTTATGANTATTCCCAATCAAGATTACCTCCATCCAAACGAGGCCTTAAGGTTTCAAGATGATTCTTATTATTATGCAGTTGAATGTTTGTTTACGTATGACACTGATGCTTCTAATTTGAGAAAGATTGTTATGAGAATATTGCCGCAAACAGCCTTATCTAGTAGTTGCGAGAGAAACTAGAACACATTTGCGCTCTTATTCATACTAAAGTGCGTAATCAACTCAATTGTCAAAAGTTGGAAAGGCTGGTGTTTGCACAGTATAACACNGCCAATGGTAATTCGTACCAAAAAGCTGGTTAAATGTTGATGGAAAGAAGGCCACACTTATATTGGACTCCTTGGGTAGTCCACTCTCTGGATTTAATTTTACATTATTTTTCCATGATTGAAACGATTCAAAATGTGCTGGAGCAAGCTAAAACAGTAATCAATTTTATCTATAATCATAGAAGGGTCTTAGCTATAATGAGAACATTTTGTTCAAGGAAATTGATTCGGCTTGGACAAACAATATTTATCACTAATTATATTTTCCTACAAAGTATTTTAGAACAGAGAAATAGCTTGCAAATGATGTTTACTTCATAAAATTAGTGCAAGACTACGGGAGCGAATGATCCAGCTGGAAATAGAGTAGAAGGGATAATTCTAAATCCTAAATTTTGGGAGAAAACCAAAAAAGTAGTGAATAAGCATACACCTATTGCAAGAGTTCTAAGAATGTTGAATGAGGAAAGAAAAGCTACAATGTCATGTGTATATGGAGCAACGAAACGAGTAAGACAAGCTGTCAAAGATGTGTCTCCTAAATATTGTAAAAAATATCTTGGCATCATTGATTCTCGATAGAATAAACAAATCATTCACCACATTCATATGGCAGGTAAACTTGTTGTTTAACAATATTTATTTTTATTACAAGTGTTATCACTTTAGATGTGACACAAGTTAACTCATTCCTGTATATTGTGTAGCTTATTACTTGAATCCCCACATACCATTATAAGGAAGATGTCAGTATGTTAGAAAAATTGTCAGATTCGCTTCGGATCGTTGCGGCTAGATTACAGACATTCAAACAAAGCTGCTCAAGTATTTGCTGAGGTAATACTTTAGTATGTCAATCTCATTTTAAGAGTGTACTATTTTAATATACAACATCAACATATCCATGATATTTAGGTCAAAATATTTTGAGAGGTCATGTATTATTTTGTTGACCGAGATGCAATTTAAGAAAGAACAAAAAGTAATTTAGGTAATTAAGTAGATTATTTAAACATAATATTTTGTCCTCATGGTTTTCTACTTATGTTTTTCTTTAGGGCACGTTTGGATGATAGTAATCTTAATTGGGAATAGGTATCTCATTCCTAATAATGAAATACTTGGGTTCCAATTACAATAATAATCTTATATTCAGTGTTTGGTTATTGTTAGTAATCTAATGTGGGAATTAATGTCATTCCCAAATTATTTTAAGAAATAATTTAATTTTAAAAAGGACATTGATTTTAGGAGAACTTAATTTTTGAAATGAAGTTAATTTTAGGAAGGAGTTTTATTTTGGAATTTTTATTCCCGCAATCAATGTATGAGATTACCACCATTCACCATGGGTTTAGGACACCCACAATTATTGGGAATTGAATTACAATATTATTTCCAAGTTATATTACTAAATAATTGACTCTCCAAACATGATAATTTAGGATTTAAAAATAAGAATCTTATTCCCAATCAAGATTACCTCCATCCAAACGAGGCCTTAAGGTTTCAAGATGATTCTTATTATTATGCAATTGAATGTTTGTTTACGTATGACACTGATGCTTCTAATTTGAGAAAGATTGTTATGAGAATATTGCCGCAAACAGCCTTATCTAGTAGTTGCGAGAGAAACTAGAACACATTTGCGCTCTTATTCATACTAAAGTGCGTAATCAACTCAATTGTCAAAAGTTGGAAAGGCTGGTGTTTGCACAGTATAACACAAGGTTGAAGTTAAAGCACCTTGTGAAGAAGCAAAAAAAGTAGGAATTCAGATCTATAGACTTAACCACTGTTTTTTAGGAGGATGAATGTATTTTAGAGTGGTTAGATGACCCCAGGAATGCACTTTTAGATGAACTTGATGATGATGGACAACCAACAAGACCAAATGATTTCCTTGCAACATGGACAAATTGTTTTTCTGATGATGATGGAGAAGTAGGTCAAAGTCAGAGTGTTGTGCCACCATAAAATCAAAATCCAAAGTAAGTAGAAAAGGATCAAGTAAAGTAAGGAAAAATATTTTACCAATGGATGAAGAAGAGTTTGAAAAACTAATGAAAAGTCTACCAAACTGTAAGCAACTTGTTNGAGAGAAAACCAAAAAAGTAGTGAATAAGCATACACCTATTGCAAGAGTTCTAAGAATGTTGAATGAGGAAAGAAAAGCTACCATGTCATGTGTATATGGAGCAACGAAACGAGTAGGACAAGCTGTCAAAGATGTGCCTCCTAAATATTGTAAAAAATATCTTGGCATCATTGATTCTCGATAGAATAAACAAANTACTCCCACTAGGAGTACTGATAATGATTATAATGGTGATAGTAGTAGCAATGATGATGACGGTGGTGGTGGTGGTGGTGGTGGAGATGGTGACTATGGAGGTGGTGGTGAGCATATTACTAGTTCATCACAGAGGTGGAGGAAGTCAAAATCCACATGAAGTTNCACTCCCACTAGGGGTACTGATAATGATTATAATGGTGATAGTAGTAGCAATGATGATGACGGTGGTGATGGTGGTGGTAGTGGAGATGGTGACTATGGAGGTGGTGGTGAGCATATTACTAGTTCATCACAGAGGTGGAGGAAGTCAAAATCCACATGAAGTTGTATTCAATGTAAATGAAAGATTTACATATGCTACACAAAATGAGGATCATGGCTCTCAACGAATACTTCAATATGAACGACTCTCAAGTCGAGATCACCAATGTGAGCATACTCAAAATCCGATCACTCCACATGGTATAAATGCTATTATGCATAGAGTCAATATGATNTGAAAGATTTACATATGCTACACAAAATGAGGATCATGGCTCTCAACGAATACTTCAATATGAACGACTCTCAAATCGAGATCACCAATGTGAGCATACTCAAAATCCGATCACTCCACATGGTATAAATGCTATTATGCATAGAGTCAATATGATTAATGCTGATTTTTCTACTATTAATCTAAGTAGAAGTGGAAATGGAAATGAACACCATAATTATTGTCCGTCGTCTTCATATAGTTATGGTATTGGAGATGACATTTCTACATATGATTATGGATCGGGGTATGACTCACGAGGATATGAATATAGATTCTCAACATATGGTTATAGATCTAGCCATGACTCCTGGAGACAAGACGANATCTAAGTAGAAGTGGAAATGGAAATGAACACCATAATTATTGTTCGTCGTCTTCATATAGTTATGGTATTGGAGATGACATTTCTACATATGATTATGGATCAGGGTATGACTCACGAGGATATGAATATAGATTCTCAACATATGGTTATAGATCTAGCCATGACTCCTGGAGACAAGACGAATGTTGCACAGGGACTGGTGCATTCGTTTCCCAGCAGATTTGATGAATGTTGCGGACTATCAAAAGTTCAGAACAGAGTATAATTCATATTATCGTAATTATATGAGTTGGACTAACTATTGTCATCATGTTTATACTACATATAGATTTTCTCTCACTGATTACCAAGACCCTGCACCGATTTATGAGTCTGTTCGACACTCCACCGAAAGATAGATGTAGCCATGTATTTATGTACTCATTAGCCCTTCATTTGTATTATGAGACCTTAACATTATGTAAAAATGAATTTGCTTNGACCCTGCACCGATTTATGAGTCTGTTCGACACTCCACCGAAAGATAGATGTAGCCATGTATTTATGTACCCATTAGCCCTTCATTTGTATTATGAGACCTTAACATTATGTAAAAATGAATTTGCTTGATAAAAATTAAATGTTTGAAACTAATTGAAGTGATATCCGCCTTGTCAAACCTTTTTGTTCTCCAACTTGATATTATCTTATATATATGGATATTAACCCAATAAACATGCTCAATTAATCAATTATTAACCTTATCTTTATAAATAAATAGATTATATTTGCGTTTTCACGTGATTCCATATTTTTGCTTTCCAAAATGTTTTCATTTTTGAGTTGATCGACATGGTACTCCGAAATGATATTTCGATCCTTGCATACAAGTGAGAGAGTTATCACCAGCAAAACAAGTGGAAGTCACATTTCGTTGGTCAAACAAATAGTGGCCCACGCTACAGACTTCTCCTTTTAATTCGGTTGTGGGAGTGTAAAAGCGGAAAACTGTCACAAATTTTACCTTTTCGTATCTTTATTTCAGTTATGAATTTCTTCTTTGGTCCTAAACATTACATTCCATAAACCCCTTCACAAAATATTGTTTTCTCATATGATCTCTCATCCAACTGTCCTTCACAAATCTACCCTTTTCTTCCAATTATGACGTCTTTGACCTTAAATATTCGTAAATTTCATAGTTGTAAACATTGTCAACTAGAGCAAAGCAAATAAGGACAAAATTATTCACATCAATATGGATACATATTTCCATATGAAGTTCTATACAACTGTTATCTCCCCTTATATTGCATCGGACACCCCCATGATTGTGCCCACAGATTATAGGTTCTTACTGATCTCATGCTTTAAGACATAATCATATCCATGTAATTTTTAATCAATAAATAAAATAAATATGACCACTCCAAGTATTAAAATCAAAGAAGTGCAATAATAGATGCAACAGAAAGATTCCAACGACATTGTGAGGTTTCAGCAACATACTTCTGAATAACTTCAGGTGGGAAGAAGTGGTTGTCTTTCATCATGTCCTACACGATGAGAAGCCTGGAAAAGATGTGAATGGAAAAAATAAAGAAAGCATGAGTTTCAGCAGAAGTTACAGAAAAGCATTAATGTTTTTTGTAGAAGACAAGCTGATCAGACTTTCTTACCTCTTCATTTGCTCCAGCTGCCATATTTATGAAGGATGAATCCCTTGAGCTGTGATATTAAAACATATATAACCATAATCAGAGGATATATGTTAAACAACCAAGTACTCTAAAAGCTTAAGTTGTTAGAGAGAGTGTTACTTAAATGTTTATACTTCAACAATATAAATAAACATTTTTGGAACTAAGTTGCCCCACAGGTAACTGAGAGAATGAAAAGCAGCATGTGACACATTGCAGAAGGATCAATCAAAAGAAGAAAACAAACCAATGCCAATAACCTGTATTATTCATTTCATCAAATCTTTTTGTATTTGTGCCAAGTCTGTGCCACAAAACAAGTAGGGTAGGATTCTCAACCCCCCAGTGCTATAACTATCCGTCACAAAACAAACAAAAGAACAAACAAATACCTGTTATTCTGAATGTCCAATCGCTCCAGCACTCCATTTTGTTGTTCATCCTTGACTTTTGAAAGAGATGAGAAGAACTGAAGAAAAATGAAGCACAGGGTTAGTCTGAAAACAAACTTGGAAAGGTCAAAAGGATACTTCTCTTTGCAGTAGTACCTGGTGCATTGAAATGAAAACAACAGTAATTCCCAAAATAAAGTTGATGGTCAAAGTATGACCAAATAATGCAGCGGAGGCAATGCCGGTAAAGATTGTGGCAACAGTTGACGAATATTTCTTCAAAATCGTATCTGATAGCATCAAGTGAGGCCATATATAAGTAAAGAGTGCAACAAAGACTAATTACCACACAAAAAGCCATAATAAACTAAAGGTCTAGATCAAGAATTACAAGTTCTAATTTACAAGGAGGTAAAAAAGATTTTAAGCTGTAATTTTGCTTAATATTTAGCACAAGAAACAAAATTCTTAGAGTAGTAGGGAAAATCTCACCAGCATATTTGAAGAAAAAGGAGGATAAAATTCCTTGCGCTGCATTGTTACATATTAAAAGCATGGTAGCTTTCGAATGTCCTTGCAAAATATCAAGGCTACTGGGACCTGAAATATTTGGAATAACACAATCAGAGTCACACAAGTTTAGCCTAGATATTTCATGAACCAACTGCAACAGATATTATCATAAGGTGTCTTAGAATGTCCTATGGAAAAAGATTGATTCCGAGTGTCTAGATTCATCAGACATGGTAGTGGGATTAAAGAAAGTGGGAGCTTTTAACAGCACTAATAGCCCAAATTCAGTTCTTAAGTATCATAAAATGCATTTTAGCCAAAAGAACAATGCTAGTAACCCTAGTCATGCATCGTATCTTGGGTCAAAATAGTCATTCAAGTTTTATTTAGGCTCTAATAATCTAGAATAGTTTTAGGGTCAAAGAGCCAAGAGTTATTAAATTTGAAGCCTTAGTACTAATAGAATTAGGAGAATCCAGCAGCTATAAATTATAATATAATCTTCCTATTCAGTACAGCATTCCATATGAGAACTTGATTCTGTGTAGTCATTTTATCTAATCCTTATAAGGCTGCAATTTTTTTTTCCTTCTCTCCTCCCTCTTATCCTCCTCTTCATCAACTTCTTTTTCTTCTTCTTCCAAGTTTTTCTGCACTCTGTTCACTCTTATAATTGATGGCTTCTTTTTCTTTCTTAGCCTAATTCAACCATATCACTTGGCGACTAGTCAAAGACATGATAATATGAATGTAAGGTGGGTCATGGTGAAAGCAACATGAGTGGAATTTTATGGAATCTCTACAAATGCGGGTCTCGGCTAGGGACTTTATCACACTAATGGAAGGCATTAGAGAAACAATTTTAAATTGTCAGTTTCATTCCAAAGCAAGATATTAGTCATTTTATTTTATTATGTAAAGGGGCAAGGTTTATGTCCTCCCCTCCCCTCTTTATATTTTTGGTTATTAACAAATTTTTGCCTTAAATGGGCTTAACTTAAAAAACCCATCCACCTCAGTTCTTTGTTATACCTCTTAAAATCTGTCAGCATAGAATCAAAACCATAAGCAGCCCCTAAAATCCCTTTCTGCACTGCCAGCATCAATATTTACCCTAAAGCTTGTTGGAGAGTGTGTTCCTACCATCTTTCCATCACAAAATCCAAGCATAAGCAGTGCCTAAGATCCCTTTCTCTACTGCCAACTTCAATTTTCAACCTAAAATTTGTAGGAGAGTGTTTACCTAAACTTGTCCGGCATGACATTTCTTCAGAAAAAAGAGAGATGTTTTTTAGAAACAGGGCTACCTTTGGCAAGAAGATGGTGCCATTTGTAGCTATTCAAGATAACAATTGCACACCCTCAATTTGCTAGAAAGCACTAGGGCCAAAAAGTTGAGCGGCACAAATTATCGTGGTTCAAAGAATTGTCCAAGTTCGATAAGGCTTGGCCGACTCATATCCGACTGGGCACTTTTCCTCCGCATACAGTTCAACATTCCGGGTAAATCACAAGTCTCCTTCCACTCGTGGTTGACTCGGAGACATCTTGGTAGACTCAACCAAAATTCCTGAGTCATCGCCATCAACTTGCAGCCTATCGCTATATACCATTCAACGACATCATGTTATAGCATGAATCTCTTTTGATGTCCACGACATGACGTTATGGCAAATTTCACGACCTTCAACCATTATAATGATAAAGCTCTGCATGTGGAGCAGTCTCTAGGGGCACAAGTGTTAACAAATAGAGAAGTTNACGTTATGGCAAATTTCACGACCTTCAACCATTATAATGATAAAGCTCTGCATGTGGAGCAGTCTCTAGGGGCACAAGTATTAACAAATAGAGAAGTCTTAGCACACTATTCAAGCCCAACATAGGAAGTACTGGACAGATACGAATAGCAAGTTTCAAAAGACATATTTTGTGGAGTTGGAAACAAACTGCATGACAAATTACAAAATCAGTTAAGCAACCAAAATCGAAAACTGGGTCNGTTAACAAATAGAGAAGTTTTAGCACACTATTCAAGCCCAACATAGGAAGTACTGGACAGATACGAATAGCAAGTTTCAAAAGACATATTTTGTGGAGTTGGAGACAAACTGCATGACAAATTACAAAATCAGTTAAGCAACCAAAATCGAAAACTGGGTCTAAATTCAACTCAACCATTTTTGTCCTTCATTATAAACAATAATTGGCAGGATTGGACAACAGAGCATCAAAGTACCTTTGAAAATGGCAATTCCAAGAATCCCCAGAAAGTTGAATATAGCACCATATCCATATAAAAATAAGTTCTGCAAAACAAACAACAGTGTCAAAAACAGAGGATAGCAGAGATGCTTGGATACCTTTGTGTAGAGAGTCTAGAGACTGCATTCATGACTAGCAAAACAAGAGTGAACATAAAGTGACAAGGAAAGAACAAGGGATTATTTGACTGGTGGTTTGAATTCAGTTTAAGGCAGATTGATCCCGAAAGGGATGCTGTGTCACGACCATTTAAAAGATGCTGAGTCCCACATCGTCACTTGACATTTGTCTTGAGGTCTATTGTCTAAACTACTTGAATATCTGTTTAAACAACACCCAAGGAAGAAAAAAAGAACCCAATAATCCTTCACTCTAATTCCTTCCAGATTATCCACATCATAGCTTCTGGACATAACAGGCCCAGAAATAGTGCCACTTTGTTGTTTGTCTATTCTTCAATCAAAATAGTAGCATATAACCCAGGCTAAAAAGTAAAAAGCCAATTCCCATATTTTAACATTTCCAGTTTGGCCAAAAGCGCGCTGATAAACCCAAGTACTCAATGCACCTAGAAAAACCTATAAGTTCTCTCTCCTCAACTAAATCACCTACACAATTACAGAAGCAGAATATGTTCAGAGCTGTTTAGCTTATCGCACTTTTGAGGGCAGTATAGAAAGCAGACGATCAAGCAATCTGTCCTAATTGAGGGGAAACTATGAAGCACTACTAAATGCAATCAAAACAACTATAAAATTGATAGTATTTTTTCTCCTAGAGAAGTAATGCAAAAATCAACCAATGAATCTCGTATTATCTGCCTGACACAGCATCAAAGTAGACAAGTGTAATATTATCTGAGATCACCTGAAGGTAAATGCTTGTGTCATATTGGCTTTTCAGAGCATATTCGTTGAAGACTGAGGCCAAAGATGGAACAGTCACCTGCACATTAAACCCTAAATAAAGCCTCAGCAGTACAAAAACAATTTAATGAAATTGCAAAGATATGATAAAGTCTAATCTCAAAAACAATTCATGCATATGAATTTTTGCTTTTGGGCTGAAACCTTGGGCTAGCGATGCATCGAGCATCACCCGTCAGTTCTATGTATAGTAACAACCTGAGAGTAAATAACCAAAATCACTTACAAAAATCAATGTGGACATGTATGCAGCCGTTGCAACAGGAACACCCAAAGCGGTAGTACCCTCAGGTAGGGAACGCATCTGATTTATGCTAATTCCAATAAGCAACAGAGCAAGAGCTTCCCACTGTGGCAAAAAAACAAAACAAGACCACACAAGCTTCAGTAATTTTTTTCCTTCTAAGTAATACCTTAAAATAATCATTACTGTTGTTGTCAATCGTTGTATATAATCCCCTGAAGCATTCAAATGTAGTTCTTATTTACACTTTGCCAAAACTGGTCAAACTAAAACCATTCAGAACACAAAACTAACCTGAATGATGGAAAACCTACGCCTCATTATTACTTTTAACAGAACAGCAATTACCAAAACCTGCATTTTCATAGTCCACAATCAAAATTTTGCAAGAATATAATTCAAGATTAGTGTCCTGTGACATAATTTGTAAGTAACAGTTTAATAAAATCCAAAGACTAATATTACACAACATGAAGTCCTGGCCAAATATGTTAGTAGGCTGACTATGCAAGCAAGAAAGTCAGCACTCTTAAAACATACAGCAAATAAAGAAAAGAATAAGTAGAAGGGATATTAAGGAAGGAAAATTATCAGCAGCTCTCTCTAAAATCCCATTGTAATAAAAAGTATGTGCAAGAGCCAATATATTGAACCAGACAAAAAGAAAAAGACTCTGCTGCCCCTATTGATAAATAAACATGACAATATTAACAATCCTCCTTCCAACTCATGATGTGACGGTAGAAAGTATAGGAAGTTAGTCAAAAAGAAAATGGAGATGCAACATGGGGCAAGACTTCATGAAAAAGACAGCCAACTGCATAGTAAGTTAGTAACAAAAGAAAAAAGCAAGGAAATAGTCTCAAGCTACAATTTGGATGGCACGTTTGTTTTCACTATACATAGATGTAGAAGCAAAAAGGAAATGCTTAGATCGGCAAGCAACCATATCAACCAAACTATCTCTAATATAGTAGTAGCCATAGCACGGTATTAATCCTGAACAATGAAACGAGCGAGAACAATTCGCTTCTTGCTTTTTTAGGAAATAAGATAATCACTTAGAAAGAAACAAAAACTTAGGGGTGGATTTGCAGTCCATGACATCACCAGCCAAATCAATATCAAAAAAAGTGGATGAAAATAACACACTCCAATGTAAAGTGCCACCAAGATAGCTCAAAATGCAAAGAATTGAAGCCCAATGCACTCTAGTTGGAGAAGAGGTATGAGACATGGATACTTTTGGAAGGTTGGAGTATGTCATACTCCGAGTATCCAAAACCCAATACCTAAATATACAAATACGGCCACATACGCAAGGATGCGTATTGGATATGCTCCATACATATATGATAAATAATACATTATATTTTCCATGCGAAGCGATACAAGTTGAATACATTGGGATATGGGTGCAGTCGAATAGATAAAGTAGATAATATGTAAATTAATGAAAAAAACCATAATGAAGTCGAGAAAAATAAATCAAAAAATTTCACCATTTTGGAGGATAAAAGAACACAAATTGTTGAACCTTGGCTAATTAAGCTTAATACAGTATACTGTTGGTACTAAGCAAATCGTCCTCCATTGGATCCTCTGCTACCTTCACCGTCCCCGCCTGCTCTTCTTCATCACCACTGTTAGCAAGTGCAGATTCTATTTTTATTTTTTCGATATGTAATGCACAGAGAGATTGATAGTGGGATAGAGGGAGAACGGGCCTACTTAACAAAGTCTAAAAGCAGAGAGAGAGAGAGATGATAAAAATGCAAAATCCAAATCTCGTGATGTATTGTTGGAAGTAGCTGCTTCCACACGCAGATTTTTTGAATCTGAAATCAGAGACCCTTTTTGTTTCCTTTATCGGCTGAGTAAGTGCTCTCCAGCTAGCAATTTTGTCTTCATGTTTGAAGATCTTTTCGAATACAGTTTGCAGATGACCCACTTTCTCTTGGGACATTAGATTTTGTGAGAATCTTGATGACACAGATATAACAGGAATGGTCTCGTTCTTGTCTTTGCTTGATGATTTACATTTAGATCATCAGTCATGTGATACAAGCTATTGTCTGCTGATGCTTGAAGTAGCTTCTCTAGCCATTCTTTCTTTGACTAATTAACTGATGTTCCTTCATGTCCACTTTCCGTTCCAACTTTGATGATTTGGAAGGAAAAAAGCCCATTAAATTCTCAGTTTGCGCACGAAATATTGTTCATGATAAGATTAATACCAATAACATGTTTCAAATAAGAAGACGTCTACCTTATCTTTCTCCGTAGTGGGTTGCTATGCATCAATGTGAGTATGAAAATGTGGATCACTTATTTTTAGATTTCCCCGTTGCATTATCGTTCTAGAGCAAATTGAGTGATTTGGAAGGAATGAGTTGTTTACTCTTTGTTCTATCTAGTCTACATTTACTGTGGACTTTAGCGGTTTTGGAATCAAGAAGAAAGGGATTACTCTTTGGAATTTGGAATTGGGTTGTTCTTGCCACAATTTGGGTTATTTCGTGGGATAGAATGTGATGATCTTTGAAAATAAATGAANGTTGTTTCCTTTATCTGCTGAGTAAGTGCTCTCCAGCTAGCAATTTTGTCTTCATGTTTGAAGATCTTTTCGAATACGGTTTGCAGATGACCCACTTTCTCTTGGGACATTAGATTTTGTGAGAATCTTGATGACACAGATATAACAGAAATGGTCTCGTTCTTGTCTTTGCTTGATGATTTACATTTAGATCATCAGTCATGTGATACAAGCTATTGTCTGCTGATGCTTGAAGTAGCTTCTCTAGCCATTCTTTCTTTGACTAATTAATTGATGTTCCTTCATGTCCACTTTCCGTTCCAACTTTGATGATTTGGAAGGAAAAAAGCCCATTAAATTCTCAGTTTGCGCACGAAATATTGTTCATGATAAGATTAATACCAATAACATGTTTCAAATAAGAAGACGTCTACCTTATCTTTCTCCGTAGTGGGTTGCTATGCATCAATGTGAGTATGAAAATGTGGATCACTTATTTTTAGATTTCCCCGTTGCATTATCGTTCTAGAGCAAATTGAGTGATTTGGAAGGAATGAGTTGTTTACTCTTTGTTCTATCTAGTCTACATTTACTGTGGACTTTAGCGGTTTTGGAATCAAGAAGAAAGGGATTACTCTTTGGAATTTGGAATTGGGTTGTTCTTGCCACAATTTGGGTTATTTCGTGGGATAGAATGTGATGATCTTTGAAAATAAATGAAAATCAGTGGATTATGAGATCAGATATATTTTTTAGTATCTTTTTGAACTTTGGTTTCTAATACTCTTGAAGGTATTCCCCTAAGTTGCATTATGGCAAGGCGGAGAGATTGTGATTTATAGCTGGACATTATGTTGCTCTAAGTGCTCTTTGTTGTTATCCATTGTCCATGTCAGCTGCTCTTTGTTGTTATCCATTGTCCATGTCAGCTTTTTCTTTTTCTTTTTTTTCTCTTTTAACTGATTTGGGATTGGACGACTTATCCAACTCTCTTTTCTTTTTTGTGCTTTCTTAATATCAATAAAATTGCTTCTTTTCCAATAGCATCTAATGGGAGGTCCTATTTGTCGTTATCCATTGTCCATGTCAGCTGCTCTTTGTTGTTATCCATTGTCCATGTCAGCTTTTTCTTTTTCTTTTTTTTCTCTTTTAACTGATTTGGGATTGGACGACTTATCCAACTCTCTTTTCTTTTTTGTGCTTTCTTAATATCAATAAAATTGCTTCTTTTCCAATAGCATCTAATGGGAGGTCCTATTTGTCAATCTCTCTCTCCCACTACCAATAGAAAAAACATTACATAAAGAAAAATGAATGTATGTCTGCCAAAACCAGCTAGCAAATTGCACAAAGTTAGCCATGAAAATATATAGATACACCACAACATATTGTAAAAGTATGCAATAAACAATGTTATGCCTAATATCAACGAACGAGTAATATAAAATGTTGAAGCAAACAAAAATCCATTACCGAAAGCATCATTACATATAAGAAGATATTCAAAAGCCACAACCCATGCTGTCACCAACCTATCAGTACCATAATCTCCTTAGTAACCTCATGAATAAAAATGCAGGTAGCAATATACCTTCAGATTGCTCAGCATCTTAACGGTGGCAGGATCAAAGTACAGCTGCACAGAAAGTTTGCACAGTTAAGTTGTTTGTGGCAGACAAATATTGAAAACCTAGGCTATTAACTTTACAGGTCATAACAATAGTGGCCAGGCAATAGTGGTCGTCCATATATGTCGTAAAATATCTTTTTGATGGTAGGGTATGTCATATTATATGAAACGTCACATTTAATATGTGCTGAATTATTGTCACAAAAAAGTGACTAGTTATATAATCGCAGGCAACATTTGTCCTATATCAAATGAAACAACATTAACAGGGTGCAAAAAAGTTTCTACAATAAAAATTATCAATCACAGATGTCAAAAGAGCCACCAAACCACAATGAACTTCACAGATCATCATGACAGTAGCCAAGGAATAATGGTTGCCCACGTATGTCATATTGGGAATTTATCTCCTGTTTGTTAAATGGCAATCATACTGCATGATGTGCATTTAAACTTTTTCACCAAGAGTTTCATTGTCTCATTTCTAAATAAAGCATCAAGTGTTTGACACTGGGTCTTTCTAAATTCCCCAGTGTAATGAAAGATGAAAATAAAACAAATGTCACCTCTTTTGGTCCTAACTCATAACGAGTAAGAGAAAAAAGTAATAAAGCTTCCCCCTCCCTAACACCTTCCTACCTCCTATTCAAAACCAGCCGAAACCCATGATGAGCCACCAATTTCTTCTATATGTTAGTCAAAAAACAACTCTCCCTCCTTCCCTCTCTACCAATAANATGTTGAAGCAAACAAAAATCCATTACCGAAAGCATCATTACATATAAGAAGATATTCAAAAGCCACAACCCATGCTGTCACCAACCTATCAGTACCATAATCTCCTTAGTAACCTCATGAATAAAAATGCAGGTAGCAATATACCTTCAGATTGCTCAGCATCTTAACGGTGGCAGGATCAAAGTACAGCTGCACAGAAAGTTTGCACAGTTAAGTTGTTTGTGGCAGACAAATATTGAAAACCTAGGCTATTAACTTTACAGGTCATAACAATAGTGGCCAGGCAATAGTGGTCGTCCATATATGTCGTAAAATATCTTTTTGATGGTAGGGTATGTCATATTATATGAAACGTCACATTTAATATGTGCTGAATTATTGTCACAAAAAAGTGACTAGTTATATAATCGCTGGCAACATTTGTCCTATATCAAATGAAACAACATTAACAGGGTGCAAAAAAGTTTCTACAATAAAAATTATCAGTCACAGATGTCAAAAGAGCCACCAAACCACAATGAACTTCACAGATCATCATGACAGTAGCCAAGGAATAATGGTTGCCCACGTATGTCATATTGGGAATTTATCTCCTGTTTGTTAAATGGCAATCATACTGCATGATGTGCATTTAAACTTTTTCACCAAGAGTTTCATTGTCTCATTTCTAAATAAAGCATCAAGTGTTTGACACTGGGTCTTTCTAAATTCCCCAGTGTAATGAAAGATGAAAATAAAACAAATGTCACCTCTTTTGGTCCTAACTCATAACGAGTAAGAGAAAAAAGTAATAAAGCTTCCCCCTCCCTAACACCTTCCTACCTCCTATTCAAAACCAGCCGAAACCCATGATGAGCCACCAATTTCTTCTATATGTTAGTCAAAAAACAACTCTCCCTCCTTCCCTCTCTACCAATAATGGCTATCATGCGGCGGAGATTTCCTCAGCACCTCCTAGCTCGGTCTATCAACCTACATGAATACAGGTGAAGGAAATATTGATTGAGGATAGAATACACCAAAACTGAGGTCATCATCCATTAAAGTCCATTGACTGTAACTAAGGCATGAAGACATGGTTAAAAGTATCGGCCGATACTCTAATAGGAGTCATATCCGACTAGACACCTTACAAAACGATACCATTGCACAATACGTATAAACCCTGAATCTCGCATGACTCGGGTGAGTTGTCTGAATCAATCCCGAGTCTCCGGAATTATCATTCCCAAATCGGCCGATACGGTTCTGCGACATCGCTATATGATCTGAATCTCTCGTCATGTTCAACATTTTATTTTAGATCGTATCGCCCGATACCGCATTGAGACGCCGCAACCAATGTGTCTCAGAGCTTTCCAAGTCGATGGCTGATACCACGACCTTGAACTGTGCATGGAGATTGTGATAATAAATCAACAATTTTCTCATCAAAAAAATTGAGAGGGAGAGAGCAACAAGAAGAGGTGGTCACGAAAGGGTGGGCAATTAAAAAGGGTGAGGGAGGGAAATTAAATTATTATTTTGCCCTACATTTCATGAGTTAAGAAATACATGAGAATTATCATCTTTGCATATTTTAAGTATATCCACCAGCAGAGCAGGTTCAATAACAAAACCTTCATTTCTAGTACAACATGACCACAATTCATGATAAATCTCCAGAGAGTTTAATTTAGAAGCAACCCTATGATACAATACTTTTCTCTTTGAGCTCTTTTTCTGTGTTACAAATCTGTATGCGGCTGTTGCAACTTCATTTTAAGTTTATTTTTTGTTTCGCTCTTTTTGACCATGGTAATTAAGAAATTGCTATCTTAACTAAGACCTACAATCACGATAAACAAAGGTCATCACATATGATTCAAGGATTACCACCGTCCCCATTGAATCACATGCAATAATGTCTATTTTCATCCCTTTTGGGTCCCTTTATCCTAAACGTTAAAATTACTCAATAAGAATATTCGGACCTAGAAGAGCAAGAACCCGCAGCTCACCTTTTTGAAACCACCCTCACTTCCCCTGGACATGGAGCTAACCAAAGACAAAGGATGAAGAAGTAAACAAAAACATGTCCTCATTAAGAGTAGACCTCCCCTCTTGGTTCAACCCTCATCATAACAGCAGTAATTGCAAGAGTTAAAACAATATCCTAAGGCAATGTTTGTTTTTAGTATTTGAGTAGGATAAAAGAGTTTTAGAGCAAGTAGTCTGGGGCTCACATATACCTTGTTTGTTTGGTTTCATTGAGCCTGGCAAAATTTTTTGTTTATTGCACCGGCATGAGCAGAAGAGTNTAAAATTGAGGTCATCATCCATTAAAGTCCATTGACTGTAACTAAGGCATGAAGACATGGTTAAAAGTATCGGCCGATACTAATAGGAGTCATATCCGACTAGACACCTTACAAAACGATACCATTGCACAATACGTATAAACCCTGAATCTCGCATGACTGGGGTGAGTTGTCTGAATCAATCCGGAGTCTCCGGAATTATCATTCCCAAATCGGCCGATACGGTTCTGCGACGTCGCGATATGATCTGAATCTCTCGTCATGTTCAACATTTTATTTTAGATCGTATCGCCCGATACCGCATTGAGACGCCGCAACCAATGTGTCTCAGAGCTTTCCAAGTCGATGGCTGATACCACGACCTTGAACTGTGCATGGAGATTGTGATAATAAATCAACAATTTTCTCATCAAAAAAATTGAGAGAGAGAGAGCAACAAGAAGAGGTGGCCACGAAAGGGTGGGCAATTAAAAANCAAACTTGCTCATGTAAGAAGTTGAGACACTACCAACATCAAATAGAGGCACCACTATGTAGTTATCGACATGCGTAAAATGCTCTCCAAAAGCAAATGCACATGTAGGAAAGTGAAAACCAACCACAATGTCTATACCTGCATTGTAAACTTCAGATAATTATTGATAGCATACAGAAACGCTGGAACTGCAAGAAGCACATTGCTGCGAGCAGCCTGCAGGAAATACAAATATTTATCAGGTTGAAGGGCCAGTAATTAAAAAGAGTACTCTAAAAAATTTGATTTTCAAGGGTCTAACCAACAGTCTGAGGACTCGCACAAATAAATATATTGCTGGATTTTCTTTTGTATTTTTGTTCTATATTTTTAATGATATTTCTGTTTCCCATAAAAAAAAAATAGGGTTTGTGCACTAGATGCATAAGATAATGCCCAATTCAAAAATCAAATCCTATTCAATATGTAAAGCACGTATGACGCACGCAAGATGCAAATATCACAAATTGCCTCGAAAATTGCAAGTATAAGAAGTAAGTTAATCATACTCAACCATACCACAAGCAATTTTTACATGGAAAACCCTAACATGAAAAAACCACAGGACCTTTCAGACAACCAATCCACTAAAGCTTCAAAGTTAGTTACAAGACTCAAAAGACGTATAGATCAACCAATTACATTAAGTAAGATGCTTTCTCTATCTTATAACTTCAATTCGGAATCCATTGCAAACTCTTGGATGCTTTATAGATGATCCATAAATCGAATCCTCAATCCATCCTATACCATTCAAGGCATCTGCCTTCGAACTTCAATTGAAATCCAACAACGCAAAAACGTCTCAAAAGGCTTTTGTGTCTCTTACAAGGTAGCTCTCTAAAAGAACATGAAATTGGTCAAAAGTAATTTATGAAGAATCTTTAGCCACTTTTGTTTAGTAGGCTAGGGTCAAGCTCTCTAAATTATTTTCTCTTTGAAAATCTCAGCTTTGTAACCCTTATGAATGAACTCAACCTTAACCTATACATAGAAATGAAAATAGAATCAAAATAGGAAACCAAAATCTACAAAATCCGAATTGCCCTCTAGAGCATGAGAGAGTGCTAGTTTTTGGAATTGAATTTTGTCTNTTTTTTAGTATCTTTTTGAACTTTGGTTTCTAATACTCTTGAAGGTATTCCCCTAAGTTGCATTATGGCAAGGCGGAGAGATTGTGATTTATAGCTGGACATTATGTTGCTCTAAGTGCTCTTTGTTGTTATCCATTGTCCATGTCAGCTGCTCTTTGTTGTTATCCATTGTCCATGTCAGCTTTTTCTTTTTCTTTTTTTTCTCTTTTAACTGATTTGGGATTGGACGACTTATCCAACTCTCTTTTCTTTTTTGTGCTTTCTTAATATCAATAAAATTGCTTCTTTTCCAATAGCATCTAATGGGAGGTCCTATTTGTCAATCTCTCTCTCCCACTACCAATAGAAAAAACATTACATAAAGAAAAATGAATGTATGTCTGCCAAAACCAGCTAGCAAATTGCACAAAGTTAGCCATGAAAATATATAGATACACCACAACATATTGTAAAAGTATGCAATAAACAATGTTATGCCTAATATCAACGAACGAGTAATATAAATTGTTGAAGCAAACAAAAACCCATTACCAAAAGCATCATTACATATAAGAAGATATTCAAAAGCCACAACCCATGCTGTCACCAACCTATCAGTACCATAATCTCCTTAGTAACCTCATGAATAAAAATGCAGGTAGCAATATACCTTCAGATTGCTCAGCATCTTAACGGTGGCAGGATCAAAGTACAGCTGCACAGAAAGTTTGCACAGTTAAGTTGTTTGTGGCAGACAAATATTGAAAACCTAGGCTATTAACTTTACAGGTCATAACAATAGTGGCCAGGCAATAGTGGTCGTCCATATATGTCGTAAAATATCTTTTTGATGGTAGGGTATGTCATATTATATGAAACGTCACATTTAATATGTGCTGAATTATTGTCACAAAAAAGTGACTAGTTATATAATCGCAGGCAACATTTGTCCTATATCAAATGAAACAACATTAACAGGGTGCAAAAAAGTTTCTACAATAAAAATTATCAGTCACAGATGTCAAAAGAGCCACCAAACCACAATGAACTTCACAGATCATCATGACAGTAGCCAAGGAATAATGGTTGCCCACGTATGTCATATTGGGAATTTATCTCCTGTTTGTTAAATGGCAATCATACTGCATGATGTGCATTTAAACTTTTTCACCAAGAGTTTCATTGTCTCATTTCTAAATAAAGCATCAAGTGTTTGACACTGGGTCTTTCTAAATTCCCCAGTGTAATGAAAGATGAAAATAAAACAAATGTCACCTCTTTTGGTCCTAACTCATAACGAGTAAGAGAAAAAAGTAATAAAGCTTCCCCCTCCCTAACACCTTCCTACCTCCTATTCAAAACCAGCCGAAACCCATGATGAGCCACCAATTTCTTCTATATGTTAGTCAAAAAACAACTCTCCCTCCTTCCCTCTCTACCAATAATGGCTATCATGCGGCGGAGATTTCCTCAGCACCTCCTAGCTCGGTCTATCAACCTACATGAATACAGGTGAAGGAAATATTGATTGAGGATAGAATACACCAAAACTGAGGTCATCATCCATTAAAGTCCATTGACTGTAACTAAGGCATGAAGACATGGTTAAAAGTATCGGCCGATACTCTAATAGGAGTCATATCCGACTAGACACCTTACAAAACGATACCATTGCACAATACGTATAAACCCTGAATCTCGCATGACTCGGGTGAGTNGACATCAGTTCGTTGGATTGTTAGTTGCAGTATAGAATCGTCGGATGTATGGCTGATTGTTTGAAGGTATTGATGTCGTCATTCGGATGAGGTTTCTGTTCGTTGGATCTCAGGTGTTGTGATTCGTATAGCCTCATCAGGTGTTTTGATCTAAAATTCATCCATGATTTTTTCTTTGAACTTAAACTCTTCTATATTTTATTTCGCGTCAGTCTCTTCCTCCTTTTTTTTCTATTCTCGTCTTCCTCATCCAGGACTCAACCACAGCCTGAATGAACAACTAGGATTTATATCCTGTTATGAATGAACAATAACTATGGGTGTGATCAAGTACATGATCCGTGCGATTTCAGTTCGTTGGATTGTTAGTTGTAGTATGGAATCATCAGATGTATGGCTGATTGTTTGAAGATATTGATGTCGTCATTCGGGTGAGGTTTTTGTTCGTTGGATCTCAAGTGTTGTGATTCGTATACCCTCATATGGTGTTTTGGCAAATATGATGGTCGAACTAGGATTTATATCCTGTTATGAATGAACAATAACTATGGGTGTGATCGAGTACATGATCTGTGCGATTTCAGTTCGTTGGATGGTTAGTTGTACTATGACATCGTCGGATCTATGGCTGATTGATTGAAGGTATTGATGTNAACATCAGTTTGTTGGATTGTTAGTTGCAGTATAGAATCGTCGGATGTATGGCTGATTGTTTGAAGGTATTGATGTCTTCATTCGGATGAGGTTTCTGTTCGTTGGATCTCAGGTGTTGTGATTCGTATAGCCTCGTCAGGTGTTTTGATCTAAAATTCATCCATGATTTTTTCTTTGAACTTAAACTCTTCTATATTTTATTTCGCGTCTGTCTCTTCCTCCTTTTTTTTCTATTCTCATCTTCATCATCCAGGACTCAACCACAGCCTGAATGAACAACTAGGATTTATATCCTGTTATGAATGAACAATAACTATGGGTGTGATCAAGTACATGATCCGTGCGATTTCAGTTCGTTGGATTGTTAGTTGTAGTATGGAATCATCAGATGTATGGCTGATTGTTTGAAGATATTGATGTCGTCATTCGGGTGAGGTTTTTGTTCGTTGGATCTCAAGTGTTGTGATTCGTATACCCTCGTATGGTGTTTTGGCAAATATGATGGTCGAACTAGGATTTATATCCTGTTATGAATGAACAATAACTATGGGTGTGATCGAGTACATGATCTGTGCGATTTCAGTTCGTTGGATGGTTAGTTGTACTATGACATCGTCGGATCTATGGCNAAAGAAGCACATTGCTGCGAGCAGCCTGCAGGAAATACAAATATTTATCAGGTTGATGGGCCAGTAATTAAAAAGAGTACTCTAAAAAATTTGATTTTCAAGGGTCTAACCAACAGTCTGAGGACTCGCACAAATAAATATATTGCTGGATTTTCTTTTGTATTTTTGTTCTATATTTTTAATGATATTTCTGTTTCCCATAAAAAAAAAATAGGGTTTGTGCACTAGATGCATAAGATAATGCCCAATTCAAAAATCAAATCCTATTCAATATGTAAAGCACGTATGACGCACGCAAGATGCAAATATCACAAATTGCCTCGAAAATTGCAAGTATAAGAAGTAAGTTAATCATACTCAACCATACCACAAGCAATTTTTACATGGAAAACCCTAACATGAAAAAACCACAGGACCTTTCAGACAACCAATCCACTAAAGCTTCAAAGTTAGTTACAAGACTCAAAAGACGTATAGATCAACCAATTACATTAAGTAAGATGCTTTCTCTATCTTATAACTTCAATTCGGAATCCATTGCAAACTCTTGGATGCTTTATAGATGATCCATAAATCGAATCCTCAATCCATCCTATACCATTCAAGGAATCTGCCTTCGAACTTCAATTGAAATCCAACAACGCAAAAACGTCTCAAAAGGCTTTTGTGTCTCTTACAAGGTAGCTCTCTAAAAGAACATGAAATTGGTCAAAAGTAATTTATGAAGAATCTTTAGCCACTTTTGTTTAGTAGGCTAGGGTCAAGCTCTCTAAATTATTTTCTCTTTGAAAATCTCAGCTTTGTAACCCTTATGAATGAACTCAACCTTAACCTATACATAGAAATGAAAATAGAATCAAAATAGGAAACCAAAATCTACAAAATCCGAATTGCCCTCTAGAGCATGAGAGAGTGCTAGTTTTTGGAATTGAATTTTGTCTCAGCCACCCAACATGACCATTCAAGTGTTGGGTGAGCGTTGAGCAAGCAGTGGTCTCAAATTGAGAAAATGCTCACTCCAAGTTGAAGGAACTGCTTGAGTGCTCAAAGGGCGTTGCTTACTAGTTTTTTCCAACAAAACCATATTTCAATCCCTTCTTCACATCATGCTTTAGTCTTCAACTTTTATAATTAGTAGTATATTGTCATTATTTCTAATTAAATAAGTATACCTCTCGGAGGGAATACTAATCATTTATACTTTTATGGGTAACTACAAATACAAGGTAAAAGTGAGAGGTAGGGTATGATTCTACCTTCCCTACCTCCTCTCTTAGAGTTCTTTCAATTTTCTATTTACTAAATCTAACATGATATCAGAGCCAATTTGATCTAAAATTCATCCATGATTTTTTCTTTAAACTTAAACTCTTTTGTATTGTATTTCTCGTTTGTCTCTTCCTCCTTTCTTTTCTATTCTCATCTTCACCATCTAGGACTCAACCACAGCCTGAATGAACAACTAGGATTTATATCCTGTTATGAATAAACAATAACTATGGGTGTGATCGAGTACATGATCCGTGCGACATCAGTTTGTTGGATTGTTAGTTGCAGTATAGAATCGTCGGATGTATGGCTGATTGTTTGAAGGTATTGATGTCTTCATTCGGATGAGGTTTCTGTTCGTTGGATCTCAGGTGTTGTGATTCGTATAGCCTCATCAGGTGTTTTGATCTAAAATTCATCCATGATTTTTTCTTTGAACTTAAACTCTTCTATATTTTATTTCGCGTCAGTCTCTTCCTCCTTTTTTTTCTATTCTCGTCTTCCTCATCCAGGACTCAACCACAGCCTGAATGAACAACTAGGATTTATATCCTGTTATGAATGAACAATAACTATGGGTGTGATCAAGTACATGATCCGTGCGATTTCAGTTCGTTGGATTGTTAGTTGTAGTATGGAATCATCAGATGTATGGCTGATTGTTTGAAGATATTGATGTCGTCATTCGGGTGAGGTTTTTGTTCGTTGGATCTCAAGTGTTGTGATTCGTATACCCTCATATGGTGTTTTGGCAAATATGATGGTCGAACTAGGATTTATATCCTGTTATGAATGAACAATAACTATGGGTGTGATCGAGTACATGATCTGTGCGATTTCAGTTCGTTGGATGGTTAGTTGTACTATGACATCGTCGGATCTATGGCTGATTGATTGAAGGTATTGATGTCATCATTCGGGTGAGGTTTCTATTTGTTGGATCTCAGGTGTTGTGATTTGTATAGCCTCGTATGGTGTTTTGGCAAATATGGTGGTCGACGTTCTATCTGGCGTTGATCATTGTTGCCAATGTTCTCATCATCGCCAGAGTTGTCTGGGCTAGGGTTCGCAGACCTGTTAGAACGAAGAAGACACAGCCCGTTGTTCACAAGTTCTACTTCGAATCTAATTCGGATTAGGTTAAAACCGAGTCCATCAGCAAGTTTTTCTAAAAGAGGCAATCCAGCCCAGCACCTGTTAGCCCAGTCCAACAAGATCCAGGCCCAGAACCAGCTGGCCCAGTCCAGTTTGGTTTGGTTCAGACTAGGTGGGTTCACGTCCGGTTCAGACCATTCTACTACAATTTTCAGATCAGTTCTACCCGGTTCAGGTGTCTTTCTCCCCAGTTCATGCTGATTCCCACCTCCTAGCTATTCTTGATAGTCTTCAGACCTATACCAGCCACAATCTGTGTATTCTGGCCAGTGCATCAGTTTTGTGGTCTGACTCAGCAGGTTTTGGTCTGGCTCAGCAGGCTTCTGGTTCGGTTCATCAGGTTTCTGGTCAGGTTCGTTGCTTTGTGGACTGCCCTAGCCTTATTCTTCTTGGTCCCGTGAGTATAGGATTGGGTTCCTCTGTTTTTTTGGTTGGTGCTCCTTTTCCAGCTCTCTTTTAGCCCAGATCTACCTTCTCAGTTGCTCCAGTTTCAGTAATATGACTACAGATTCCAGAACATAGTTGAAGACAGATGCACTTCCTCCTAGCCTTCCACCAATATTTTTCTCATCCTCTTTCTTTCATGCTCTTATGACTTTGGTCAAGCTAAATGGGACTAATTATATTTTATAGCCCCAATGTATTCAAGTTTTCATTAAAGGCAAAGGTTTTAAAAAG